ATTAACAACCAAATTGACCTTTTATTATTTTAGTGTACTTTTTAGTTGATTTGTGTTGTTTTATTTTGTTTTGTTTTGGTATCTTGTATAGTCAGTTTCGAAGGCACCGAAACAAGCCAAATTGTTGCCTAACAATTAATTATGATTCAGTTGAAACATAAAGATAATCATTTAGTATTTTTGGCGATTTTTGCCTAAAGCCAAAATAAAAAAATTAACTTTTGTTTGTATATTCACTGCTATTTTAAATAAAATCTTAGTGCGTTGAAATATCAAATCCGGATGCTAAAAGCATTAAAAAGTTTCTTGAGGGGTTCTACACGATTTATTGTTCAATGAATAGTTAATAAACTTGATTCAACATATATTAAGTACAAAAAAAATTTTTTTTTTATTGAAATAAATTAAAATTGCCATTTGTTTTTCTAAAATAAGATTTAAAAATAGTTTTTATTAAGCATATTTTTTATTGTATTCATTGTTTAAAAAAATAGCATACAAAATCATATAGAAAAGTTTAGAAATTAGAAATATATACATAAGTATGTACAATTTATGTATATTATATGTACAATTTATATACATATCATATGTATATGAGCATCTTTCGAAATTGGCGTATTTGATTTCAAAAGGAAAAACCACAGCTTGTGGCATAAAATTGCATAAAAATTGTATTATTGCCACCTGTAAATATTATTTAAACCACAATATAAAGTGAATTTAATGTAAAAATGATAAATGGTTGAATTAATTATTGTTGTTATTAGTTCATCACTTGGAAAGTAATTTTTAAAATCTGTCTAATGTGCATTCATGCCTTTTGTTGCTAATTAGTTGTAATTTGCTAATTAGTTATGCCCTTTTTGAAGTTGGCATTAGTCAATTGATCAGCTTTTCGTTTTTGTTTTGTTGTTGCACTCAATCATATTCACTAAATATTTATAAGTGAAGGCGAAAGGCCTTTCAATAATAATTTGAAATCAAAAGTGCAATCATACACAATATGTTTACTCACCCCACTGATTAAGCTATTAAAGCGGAAATGCAGATTCATTAAAAATTTGATTAAGAAATCTTGCAATAATTATATTTTGATGTTGTAATAATAAATTTTTTATACGAATATTTCATATTCCTCATATTTTTATTTTTCTCAATACGTCATGTTTATGATTAATGACTTTTTAAAATGTTTTTACTATAGATTTGTTCAACGTTTACTTTACACATATTTAAAATTTAATGTTTCCTTAAAATCAAACTAAATATTTATACTTAAAACATTTCCCATATACTATAAAAAGTAAATTTATAAACTATAAATAATGAGTTAACATAATTATTAATAATAAAAAATTAAATTACAAAAATTATGACAGTATAGGTATGTAAAATTAACCAAAAATTATTCTGATAAAAAGAAAAAATTTCCGATTTTAGAAATCTGATTTAAAGAATTTCTGTCTGTTTTTGTAGACAGTACTCTTCCAATTTAACGAAAGATGTCTTGTACAGCCCATTCGCTAAGTTGCAAAAATTGTTAAATAGAATGAATAAGTTCAATAAAATATATACAAAATATGGAAAATTATTTTTTTTATAAAAACCGAAGTCCATTTGTTTTTTGATGCATTCTATTGATTTTTAATATCCTTTCTTTAATAAGACTTATAAAATCACGATTTTCATGAAATGTATGTAATTATCTTTAGCCCATTAGTAATCCACTGTATATCTGTGAGATATTTAAGTAGAATATAAAAAATATATAATTTTTTCATTCATTAAATTGGAGATTTCTGGAATTCAGTATTTTTTATATTAAACCTTCACTGTAGGTATTTAAACGAAAACAAATATTTATTAGAATACAAAAATGCTATAACATTTTTTTAACAAAAAAAGTTTTATTATTATATATATGACAGTATAAGCAAACATATTTGATTTAAAATAATTTTTTTTGAATTTAAAATGACCAAATTTAAAAAGAAATGTTTGAGAAATGCTATATTTTTCTTAATCAACATTTTTAAATTATTATATAAAGAAAAAGTAGGGGAAGGGTATAGTTAAAATTAATATTTTGACTAATAAGGGATAATAATTTATTTATAAAATATTTGGTATTTATTTTATAGAATGCATAATAAAATAGAAATAGAATTTTTGACGTCACCGTTAAAAAAAACTATTGTAAATTTTCTAAAAAATCCATAACCAATAAAATCAATAATTGCAAAATATAAAAAGAAATACTACTGTGTTTTAAGCATTTGTTGACTTAAACACAAAGTTGTTTAAAAATGCAAAACCTTAAGCAAACTTTATAAAAATATGTAATATTAATTTGACAAACTAAATTTATTCAATACTAAATTTCAAATTATAAAGTTTAAACCGAAATCGCTGAAGATAAAAGATCACAAATGTTAATTTGTAATTAAGTATAAATTAAGTTAAACATTATGTAATTTTTTTTATTTATTAAGATTTGTTGTTATTTCTGGTTATTTTTATTGTCTTACGTATGCCAAATCGCCAAGTAACTTTGTACTAATGAGATGCAAGATACAAATCAAAATTAAATTTAAATTAATATATAGATATAGAAAATAATTTCAAGGTTTTAAAACGGTTAGATAATAACTTTTGGTTAAGCTTATAAATTTATCTTAGCAAATAATTAATTTCTTATATTTAATAGAATTTAATGCAGTTTAAAAATAATTATTCAAAAAGCTTGCTGTAATTACTTCATTATAGAATAAAATTGTATATCTTAATATTAATTAACTTCAAAGGTGTACATTTATATAAATACGTAAAAAGTAGTTTACTGTTCTCTGGACATAATAAATAATGTTATTTTTATTGGTTTATATCTAAAGTAAATACAAATTCAAATACACAACTATTTTTGTAATAGATTTAAATATTAACAATAAATGTGTATAACAAATAATCGAGGGTTCCGATATCATATTGATTTCTTATGTCTGATCTTGTTTACAACAATAATCTATCTGTTTACTTGACTTAAGTCTTGAATATAATTAAGCCTCAACAATTTAAAACGAATCTGGAACCACATGCCACATTTGTCAAAATGATAAATTTTACACATTAACTTAAGTGTAGGAAAAGATATTTAAATTTCAAATTCATATAGATTGTCCATAGAAACATAATTTTTTAATTTGCCAACCACTTCAAAAGTACATGCTTAAGTCAAAATATTATTATTACGAAAGCGACATATTAAGATGTTTATAAAAAGTCAATAAATGGCATTGAATTAATTTAAAACTAATCGGATTCTATATAAACATCATAGTGTAAGACGTAATGAAATGGTTCTTTTTTAAAACAATTTTCTTACCGTTTTAATTTAATTAAGTTTTTTATCATATCATATCAAAAATTTTGTCTTTATCATGTCACATGTATTTTAAAAATAACCACATCAATAGAAACAGCAGTAATAAATATTTTTTTAAACTGATAAATATATTTTAATAGAAACGATACTATTTTAATAAAAATATATCTAACTGACACATTTTCAAATCTTTCGAGAAATCATTTGAGATTAAAATATCAATATTGTTATCATGATGAAAGAAATTATCCAAAGTATCCCATATTAAAGCATTGCCTAAGTGGCATAAAAACTGATCAATTGTTTTCTCTGACATGATCTATCGAATAATGAACATATCTATTAAAAATTTTAAAACACCGTAATAAAATTTTATTACTGATGGTATATTGACAGTTTATATATTGCTAAATTATTCAAGTTGTCTATCTATCCTCTTTACTATCAGAATCTAACTAAGCTGACTCATTGTCTTAACAACATATTCTATACTTATTTTAATATAGGATTAAATTATAATAAATAAAGTTTTTGACATCACTGCGAAAATGATTTATTTCAACTAATAGCCAGGACTCAGAATTGTTGCTTTATTCTTTCGACGAAGTTTTAGACATGTGTTGTGTGGGAATTGTTAGTGGTGATTGTTAGAATTTTGCACGTTACCAGTTTAACCCAAATACATACACTTTGAATCTATGCTACTTTTATTACTTACCTGAACTAAAAAACAAAAACTTATACATATTTTTTTTTATATTACAATATTTCTTTCCGTATTGTACCTGTTTCGTTTTATTCATCTTATTGCACATAATATTTTTGGGAATCGTATTACCCAAAACCCAATATCCCTTTAAAATCCAATATACAAATAGAAACAATTCATTATAACATGTTATTAATTACTTCGTATGTAGCATACTAGCTGATTTTAATGAAAAAATTCAATGATTGCTAAAAATAAGACTGTAAAATTCAGTTGACACATTCTATATGTTATATCTTAATAACAATTGCATTTGCTGTGCTATATTTAACTCTAACAGCTAGATTATACTTACTTTAGATCGATTGTATTCTTCAAACCTATTTAATGAGCTTAACATATTGTTGAATTCTACAGTCGCTTTGGCAAGATAGACACAAAAGAACATTTGTTCATAACTTTTGCACCAATGGCAGAAAAATCTATCTATGATTAAGAGACCCATTAAAGTCTTTTCTTACAAAATACAATTCCTGATTTAAACTTATCTTGATTTTTTCTATAACTTTCAATTATTCTTGGTAATAATAAATCCTTAACTGTTGAGGAAAATGACGGAATGTATGCATGAGGTCATATTTAATTGATTTTTTTTAAAAGTCAATAATGTGTATTTAAGGTAGAAACCATTTTCTTATATAATAATTTTTTTCCAATTGAAAGTTTATATTTATCAAATAAATATGTATTTCAATTTTTGTTGGTACAGGAAGAATAATAAAACATTTGAAATTAATAAATTTCCACTTTATTATCTAACATTAAATTCAGTTCAACATTAACGAATTTTGTTAATATTTTAAAATAATATTTTTAATACTAAACAATGCTTTTTATATTTTATAGTTTTCAGTTTTTAAAAACTGCAAAGTGAGGAAATTGATTTGTGAATCGAATAGTCACAGAGGAAAAAGCCAGCTAACAAGCCATAATTCAATTAACCGAACACAGGAAATCGTACCAATTTTGGCACATTTGCTTATTATTTGAAGTTTCTTGAATTTCTTTTTTACTATTTCTGTTAACATAAATAAAATTACGGAAGCTTAGTTTATATTTCTTTGTAAAAGAATTATTGTAATTAAATTCACGTAGATTAGATACTATGTAAATTAAAACTATTAAAAACATTCAAAAAGAAAGTACGGTACGTTTATGAGATCTCTATGTCTATGAGAAATCTATGTTTTTACAGAAATAAATAAAAGTTTGTTGATTAAGAAGAAACAAGTCTATTGTATATAAGTATTGATACCAAAAGTATAAATGCTTAAAAATTTTATTTTGAAAATAAAACCGACAGATACAGATTTAGCAAGCAATCAGATATACATTTTATTTATATCTTCATACTACTATTTTTTTCATAAATTCACAAATGCGAATAGCAAAAAAAATTTTATAGATTTTTATTAAAATTTTTCAATGGGAAATATATTATTGCTATAACTATTCTATCTAAATTTCTCAACAATTATGGTCTATTTTATATTGCTTAGAGAAATTAACAACGCAATAGGGTTACAAAATATACAATTATATAAATATATAATACCTATATAATAGATTAATATAAATATTATATTAATCTATTTAATTGTCACTATTATTTCTCAAAAAGTATCTAAAGTAAAAAAAAAATGCAGTTTTTATTCTTAAATATTTATTATTTATTTTGGAAATAATTTACATTCTAAGCAGTACACATATACATTAGCTAATATAGCGGTAACGTTAACCTTCTTCGAAAAATTTTGTTGAGCCATTTCTATCTCAAGACGCTAAACGGCAAGTTAAATTTTGTGAATAGAAAAAAAATTCCAACTCTTTTGTCAAATTATTGCATAGAAAATAGGTTGTGAAAACGCATTATTATGTTATACTACAAAATCTAAGAACTTACCAAATATCCAAAATATTCAACATCTGATCGTACAGAATGAAAAATAAATATTGGAACGCACTTCCTAAATTATTAGTTATGAATACTTATTATAAACGAAGTAGAACTGAAGCATGATCTAACATGATAAATGATGATATAAATAAAATAACATAATATTTGGCATGATTCAGATTACTCGAGCATGCCTATTATATAGCTATTTTAAGAAACTTTTTCTACTATGCTATATATTTATATAGCTTAGTTTTCGAGTTATTAAGCTAAAATATTCGTCAATATTCCAAAAATACTTTGTCCCACTCAGTCAGATGTCATAGTCACATTGATTTATAAAAACCGTCAATTTCTCAATAATAAATAAAAACCCTCAAATATCGTTTACGTAATCAGTATAAATATTCGAAATACTAGATAGTGCTACATAGTCAGCAGTCTCATTGAAGTTTGGTATCTACTTTATTAAACTAATTTTAATAAAAATGATATTAATTAATAAATCCAATTCCTAATCTAATAAATTTGACTAGAACTTTGGGTAAAACACCCAATCATATCCCGGATAAAGCTATCCTTAGAGCAACTGAACCATATTGAGTGCCAATTTAATAAAATTTAACAGCACCTTCCTAGGCCAGTACCTCTTCTAACCTGAGGATTTAACAACACTGTTCCTGATCTAAAGAAAATCAAATAAATTTTTAAAATATATTATTATATATATTAAATAGTTATATAATATATGATTAAAAACTAACAGAAAATTTTTTATTCAACAATTCAAAACGCCTTATAAGAAATTATCATTCAGTGATTATAAAAGTTTTATGTAATTAAAAACACCATTGTGAAACAGAGTTCCGTCAAATTTCAATATATTATTTGGATCTACCCATAAGGTGTGAAATCAATACAATATCATTTATATGTTATATGAAGCATCTCTTAATACTGCTTTCTTTTGATGCAATTTTTAATATCTTGCCAATACGAGGCTGTTAAAAAAGGGGGCATATTTGATGAATGTTCATTTTGAAAACTTTGAGAATTTGTAGACTGTCCAGTAAATAAAGTCCAGTAGTTATAAATCGCTTGATTTTGTTAGTCAAATCACTTAAACCAACACATGATTATAAGTTTGCTCAAAATTTTTCTTGGATACAATGAACTTCCGGCATTTAGTTGTGAAGTTTACTGCTTTAGATATAACTATTCTGTTTATTAACATACCCACCAACAAATTTGATATGAAAAATCGTTACTATTTTATAGTAATATATCAAAATTTTAACACAATTAGTGGTTATAAACTATCCATATTGTTAGCTGATGAATCCTAAAGCGTAAACTAAACAAGAATAGCCTTCGATGGCTATTCTGTTTGACATATCTCATATGTCCTGATTTGTTCCAAATCGGGACTACGAATTGGATTACTTAAGAAAAAAAATAATACATTTATTAATTTGATCACTGAAATAGAAATTATTTTAAAAATTATTTTTTAAATATGTGAAAATTTACTTCACATACAAACAATATTAAAATACTAAAATTTTATTTCAATTTAAAAATAATCGAATATAACTGTTACCAGTCAATTTCTTTAAATTTTAAAATTTACCGAAAAAAAATTAATACACATAAAAAAGTAAATACTTTAAATTCAAATGATTGTGTTTTTATTGAATTGTTAAATCCAAAAAAGAGCTAAACAAATATAAATAAAAAAGTATAAAAATACATAAATTTTAACTGGAATTACCGCGGGGCTTAATTGAAAGCAGTTTAGCTTCATTTTTATACCGTCTTGGCTTAGTTCAGATCTGGTGTGGCAGCTTAAATGCGATGCAAATTTTACGATGGAAAATTTTAGTGACGGGAGCATCACGATGTGGATTGATAAAATACATACATTGCGAATTTATATTTTATTTTGGTTTTAATTTTGTTATTTACTACAATACTTATTTTTCCCTTTTGTTTGCATTCTACTTGGCTGGTTTTTGAACACTTAAGAAAGCAATTCCCACGTTATTATCATGGAAAAAATTACATCTCTTTTAAAATTTTGGCGCCAGTGTACTTTCAAGTGCCTTTATTTGATTTGAAGTTTTTTCACTCCTTTAAAAGATTTACATATATATATATAATATATATGATATATAATATATAATATATAATAATAATATATAATATATATAATATATATGTATTTAATGTATACCTATAACGTATACATATATGTGTATTGTTTAATAATAATTAGTACTAGTTTTTAATAATTAAACTCATTCCTTTTAAGTTTGTGTATTTTTGGCATAGTGGCGTATGAGTATCAATCGCTTATACCAGGGCTGTCCAGGTTAGATGCGATCGTGGGCCAATAAAAATCACTTACCTTAAAAATACGGTTATAATGTTAAATTTAGTTTTATTAATTCACTAATTTAAATTTTTTTATTTGGTGTACCATAAAAATAATATAATGCAGTTTTATCAATACACAAAAAGAAAATTTGTGATTAAAAATATGTCGCGGGCCGCACAAACATTACCCGCGGGCCGTGCTTTGGCTTAGACTATTTGAGATATGCAAATCTGAACATTGTCAAAATATTGTTTTTAGCACATCATAAACACAAAATTTTCAAAAACAATAGAAACTCATAAGTCTTTCCTACAATGCAGATGCACCATCTTAGCTTTTTGACTATTAACAATTACATAACAATTTTTATCTCCACAACAACAATATCCGCACAAATAGATTACATCTGATTTGGCTTGGTTGTTTCCAAGCACATATTTATATGCAATATTGCTGACTCTTCGAATGTAGTTGCAACATTTGTTGAAAAGTTTTCATCAGGTGTTGACTTAATCACAATGAAGCAAATAAGTCTAAGCCTTTTTTTGTATAATTTTAATTATATTTGTAATGTTATTTGCTGTTATTTCGATAACTCCACATATAATGACTACTTTATTTACGTATCTGAATGATTTTTTTTCAATTAAAATTTTTAATGTTTTCCAAAAATGTATAAAGATTAAATAAATTAGTAATTTTGTTTCATTATTGCACGCAACTAAGATTAATTTTTTTAAATGAGCTGTACTCGGCCATAAATAATTTTACACTTTTTGTTTATTCATCGTTCAAACATCCAAACATGTTTTATTTTAAGATGTCAATATCTTTTGACCGTCGGATGTAAGTCGTAGTCCTCTTTGCAACAAAGTCAACTAGCATTATGGAACTGGTTGGATCACTTTTCTTTCAATTAAAACCAAAAATGCAAAATTAAATATTTTTTATGCAACAACTTCGTCATAAAATTAAGTTATTATATTTTTTTTATTAAATAAAATTGGCACTTTGGTTTTGTTGAATTAGATATTTACAAGTCATTTATTTTAATTTGATGTAATAATAGATATTTATAGAAAAATTTATACTCGAAAAATTAACAAGATCCTGAGTTTTTAAGGCACTGACTTAAGTGATCCTCAAGAGTTAAGTCCATCCAAAAAAAATAATTATATACCAATAAAAGTTATCAAAACGTTGTTTGAATAAAACAAAATTAAAACATTTTAACAAAAATTAAAAAAAAAAAGTTTAAATTTGCTAGTTTTAATATTTATCTCAGCCGGAAATATGTAAATAAATTTTTTTAAATTACATGCGTAATTGTACGGGGGCTTAGTTACAATTCAAGTAATGTAACTAAAACTCGTATATTTTGTATTGCCATTTAATGTCAACAATTTTTTTCCATGTCCTGAACTTGGTCAAAGCAGTCAACGTTGAACATTCAAATAATGTTCAGGACAACTAGTGCCATTGGCCGAAGTTTTTATGCACTTTATTTATGGAGATCTGCTGCGTGCTTCAAGCCCAGAAGAATTCTCACGAATTTTCAGAATGTTAATAATAATTGGAATTATTAAAGTAGTTTTTATATATACACATATGTAATTATGAACTATTTTTATTTTTTTATATCTTAAGACTTTTAAACCCATATTCACATAAAAAACCGTCAACATCACTACTATAAGTACTAAGTCAAACATTGAAAATCTTTCAATTTTCATGATAAGCCCTACTAAA